AACAAAGGGAGAGGAGCTTTGATGAAAATCCTTCAAGATCTCTAGGGCTTTTATATGAAAAATAAAAAGGTCCAGTAAAGTTTGGTTTAATAAATCCCCAACATAATTCTGAAAAGGAATAACTAAAGAAAAAGGTACATTACTAAGCAATCTGGTCGAGTAAAAGGTGTGGCAAAGTTGACATTTCTGAGGTGAGATCAAGGGATGTAGAAACTTGTTGACTTAAAAACGAGCACATAAAACTTACACGTATATGCAATATGTCATTAAGCTATGAAAGATCTGATCTGGAGAAATTCCGAGCTTGTAAATGCCTATCAAGGCAAAAACAAAGAAACAAAACCACCTGGCCCGACTAAAATTGAAGGCAAACTTGGAACAACATATACAAGCTTGTCACGCATGCATGAGCTCTTTAAATCTCGTAAATTATGTACTCGGATTGGCATCGGTACAAAAAAGAATCTGGTATGCTTTATATACACTTGCGACCAATAGAACCTCGGTTTCCTTTACGTTCTAAAAGTTTTCCTTTTGAAAGTCAAACTTGGTGATGTTATGGTGGCTGTATTCCTTGCACAACGCATCCAATTCCTTGCCAAGAGCCGGGGCTCCACAGTAAAACACACCTGAAAATTTTGTCACGTTTTAGCAAAGAAAAGCTCACAAACATACCAATTCTCGCGCCTCTGTGAAGCTTCTCCAGCCTCGACAGAACCTTTCTCCAGTTTGGACGGGCAAAGTGAGTCTTAACCTGGCCAAAGATGAAGAACACATATAAGAGAACTAGAAACACGAAGAAATTCAAGGAAAGAGGCTAGAAAAGTACCCGAGTTCCCGAAATAATATCGACCCCATTCCGTGCATGCTGTAGACTTTGCACCATCGTAATCAGGGCCGATCGAACATCGCCCTCTTCGTAAACACTCGTCAAATAGTTATGTAGCTCGATAACAGCCTGACAAAACATCGTAAGAACGTGTAAGAATGGAAACATCATACGAAAACTTCCAACCTTGGAGTCAATCTCGGCAACTTCGTTCATGACACCTTTGAACCAGTCGAAAGATCCTTGCTCTCGTGTAACCCAGTAGAAGTAAGCGTTCGTGGGAGTCCAGCCGGGGACCGTGGAGTTCCCTGGACTTCTTCTAGGGCTGGGCATTGGGATCCTCACGTCGGCGCTCGTCTCGTTCTTCTTCATGTTGTTGAGCATGTCTTTGAGAACACTGATGAAGGGAGTGGCTCCAATGCCCAGGCCGACGAGAAGGAGAATGTCGTAGGAGGTGTAGTCCTGCGATGGAGCTCCGTAAGGCCCATCGATGAAGAGCTTTGGAAAGCTGCGAAGGATTGGATCATAGATTAGTTCTTGCGGCTCTCTCTCGAGGAAAAGTAAAGATGGCTTACTTTGAGCTGTCCCCGGAGTTCCATGCCTCGGCACGCAGCAATCCACTCTTGCCACCAGCGGATGGTTCGCAAATTTGCGAGAACACGTTCTTAAGTTCTGCCGTCCAGTCACCGAGAGTTCTGATGTGAACGCTGAGATACTCGTCGCCTGGAGCGGAAGTGATTGAGAATGGATGCCTGTAACACGATCACATAGACAAGTTCTTGAGAATCATTATAAAAAAAATGGGAAAAAAATGTGAAAGAAACTCACCACTCAAATGGAGAGACTGCTGGACAGTTCAAGACCATGTACATTCCACTCTTGTACCGGAAGTTTGGAGGCTTGGTCATGTACAAAGCCATGACGTTGCCAGTGTAGATAGCCACCTGAAAAGTTTGACAAAAAGGAACCCAGATTTTTCAATCTCCATGCAAACAACGGTGGTGAAGTCCTACCTTTACGACTTTCACCGGATAAACAGTAGACTTGAAAACCCTGCGAATCCTTTCAAACGCGTAGAGAAGGACAGGGATCGCAACATACATCCAAGTCTGCGTTTGAAAGGAAAAAGTAAGAACGTGAATTTGGAGCAAGATGATCTTACAGTTTTTTGCTGCCATTTGTAAGTCAGGTAGAGGAAGATGCCGTGGATGATGAGAAGCACGTAGACGATGATGAAGAGGTGATGTGTGTACCAAAACGTGTTGAATCCCGTCATCCGGTGGAAAGGCCACGGGAACTTGACGAGATTTCGCCGAAACTTGTGAGTTGCGAGTGTGAAAGCTATCGCCATGAGAACCACCATGACAATCCCCGTCACTCCCTCCACGCCCTTGACAACCTCCCAGTAAGTTGGCTGCCTATAGTTGAATCCACGCCCGATCTTCGCGATGAATTCCTCCTCGTCGTAGCTCACAAGCCTCGGGATATCGCAAGTTATATGCATTCCTCCGTGGAGAAGAACACCCACGACGATTCCAGCCGCTATAGTCTGCTCGAAGGGAGAAAACGTTTAAACATCAGGAAAAGAGCTAGCTAGAACTTTACCTTGTGAAAGTTGATATTGTCGTTGAAAGGCACGACCTGGTTGAGCCAAGTCGATCTCAAGTACGTGAGAAAGTTCCGACACATTGGAAACAAGATCAAAGCCATGTTGAGCTTGAGAGTCTCGGCCGCACCTTTGGCGATGCAGAGACAATATCCCATGACATCAAACGCGGCCTTGTTCCGGTACTGGACGAACTTCCAGGTGAAAAGCCCGACGCACGCAGCGATCCACAGCGCCAGCACCCAAATCCTCTTCCAGTTCTCGGCCAGGAAATACTTGGTCTTGGACTTGATCTCGTGCAAGTGGCCCCGTCTGTGTGGTGGAACCAGTGCTTGACTTAGCATCTGGCTTACGTTTTGTGTGGAGTATCGCTGCGAGGCACCGACAATCTCACCACGTAGGAGAGTTTCAAGTTGCCATAGCTGCAAGAAAGTGACACAAAGTCTAGAGTGAGCGAGTGATTTGGTCGTGAGCTTAACGAGAGTCAAAGATGGATGGCAAACCTCGACATAACCCAGATTGTCCGGGTCTAATTCTTCCATGATCAGCGCCGCGTACTCGTCGGCTTGCTCCTTGAGTTTCGAGAGCTTGTTCTCACTCGCGCTTATTTTAATGACCTGGACAAAGAAATTTTTCGCGATCGTTAGTCAGCGTCGTCGTAGCAAGCAATAGTGGAACAAAAGAATAGAATTTTTTTCGTTAGTCAGCGTCGTCGTAGCAAGCAGTAATGGAACAAAAAGAATGGAAGAAAGCTTGCCTCTTTCACTTCTTCTTCCGTAATCCTTCCGTCGGAATTTTTGTCGCACCTGTGCAAAACCGGTTGAGTTGAAAGAAGAGGAAAATTCAGATTTTTACGTACATGTCGAAGAAGATTTCGAGCCTGGAGTCGAAGCTCGGGTCGGAGATCCAGAACCAAAACTCGCGAGCCTGGTCTTTATCGATTTTGAGCTGGTTCACGTCCATTTTGCGGGCTAGACAATCGAACAACTGTCCCGCAAACTCCTTTGAATCTTTCATACCTGTAGATCCAAGACAAAAGAGGCTGAGATTTGATTCCGACAGATCGATCGTGAGAAAAGGTCGAGCAAAAAAGCACACAATGCGGCCACTGTAGTGCTGCAGACTTTCAACAGTCATCACATGCACTGGCATCGCAACCAATGCGGACAATGATAGGAGCGAGAAACCATTCCAAGATCGAGAAATGCGGCGGACCCATCACGGAGTCACCAGAGCAATCCCCTGGGGATCACGAGCCAGCGAGACCCACGTCCCCAGCAGCGAGAAATCGCAGCGGCAAGCCAGGGGATCGAGGGGCTCGAGCAAAACGAGCACGAGAGGGGTGGAACCCACGACAGATCGTGTCGGGATCACCCGACCCACATGATCCGATCGCCAGCCCAGGCCTCGGATCGAGAGAAGGAGCGATCCAAACCCAACAAGATTCAAACGAGGCCAAGAACAAGAAAACTCACCAATGCAAGCTCCAAAATCGGCGCGCGAGAGGAATCCATCCACGGCCAGGGAGTCGAACCGCGTCGCCACATCCTGCCATAGCTGCTCCCGGTCGGCCTTCTCGGTGGCCTTGCTGATGAATCGAAGCCCCTTGATGGCGGTCTCGGCGGAGGATTTGGTGCGCGGGAGCCTAGCCCCGCCCGCCGCCGCCGCCGCCCCCGCCCCCCCCTTGTTGGTACCACTCCGGCTCAACGAGAGCTTCTTGAGCTCCTGGGAGAATTGCTTCCACTTGGAGGACGTGATCCTCTTGGCGCTATGGTCGGAGCTGCTGTTTAGGCTGTTGATCTCTAGCAGCGAGTCGTCGCTGTCGGCCCTCCCGATCTGGAGCTCCACGAGAACCTCGCCGCCGGTGCCCGTGTTTGCGGAGCTGGTTCGCGACGTGCCCCTGGATCTGGCGCCAGCGCCAGACAAGTTCCTCATCTCGACCGTTATGTGATCCTCTTTCACCATCGAGGGATGGATGCTGCTCGCTCTTCCTTCTCTGCTCTCTAGATCGAGCTAGCGTGCCACTCTGTGACGCATTTGTTATATGGCGATAGACCTTGGGCCGCGACCTTGGGCCGCGCTGGAGTAAATGGAAATCGCGTCTCGCGTGATGTTTTGACCAGGCAACGAAGCTAGCAAGGAAACTCTTGCCGGCGGCCATAGCCGAAAAGCTGCTGCACGTATAATAGTAGCACATGTGGTCGCCCACTCACCAAAAAAATCGTGGACATTTTTATTACTAAAATATTCCTTTTTTATTTTTATACTATAAAGTATCTTTGTTTTTGGAAGATAAGGTATGGTTGTGGATTATCCCCCAGTGGTGTGCCTATGTTAGCGTAGAGACTCGATTCAACTTTTCCAACCTCTGGAGCTTTAAAAATATCACAGTGGCCGCCACGCAAAAAAGATTGATTTTACGAAGAAGCTTCCATCCAGTGGAGGACATCGTCCATCAAATTTGAAAAACGTGTCCATTCAAAAGATGCGAATCTTTTTCAGCATATGCTTGCCTAGATCCTGGCCGTTGGATCCCCGACACTTTAGGGCTAGTCCTTTCTCTTTCTCCTCTTTTTTCTTTTCTTTTTGTGTGGCGCGCGGCATTTCCAGGTACGATTGCTCACGCCGCCTCGGTTTCCCTCTGGCAATCCTCGCGGCCACGCGCATCGATCGATCGCTCGCCACAGCAGCAGCAGCGGCGGCGGCGGCGGCGGCGGCGGCGGCGCCCGGAATCTCCCCCCTCCCGACGAGGTATTTGGTCCCGCGCAGCACAGCTACATGCCAAGCAGCAGCGGCAGCGATGGCAGCTGGTATCTCACCCACGGTCGGAGTTTTAGATGGAGAATGCAGGGCTGGCACTTCGACCTCCAAGTCGATTTCCAATGGAAGCACTCTCTCGGTGGATGATGCCGGCGTTGTTGCCTCTCCTGACCAAGAAGAGGTTGTTTCCAATCCAGGCTCCTCCACTCCTTCCCTGGTACGTCTCTTGTCTCGCTAGAAATTTTTTCTATCTTGGATGGTTCTCTTCTTTCTCGCTGGTAAAGCTGTGATTGGATTTTTCTTTTTTGTGTACGATTTGCTTTGCCTGCTTTGTGAAATTTTCTTCTTTTTTTTTGTGTGTACGATTGCTTTGCTTTCTTCCCATTCGTGCCTAGATTTTTTTGGTCCCGGGTGGAGCTTTTCGTCTGTCCGTGCGTGTTAGTCTACTTTTTTGCGTGTAGGTAGTCAGTGGTTTTCGCTACTTGTTTGGTGATGTGTGTTTTTTCTTCCACTCTTTTTAGGTGGACGAGAAGATCACCGAAGCTCTTGTGGAGGAATTCCTCCCGTTTATTCGCTCGGGTGGCTGGGCCGACATTGGGCTCCGCAATCACATGGAAGATGCCCACGTCCGAATCGACGATCTTGTCAAGCATCTCGGTGAGCTTGTCATTGGCGAGAGCACTGGTTCCTTCTACGGGGTACGCTCTCTTCTAAGCGTTTTGTCTCTCTCTTTTATATTCTGCAAAGCGAGAAAGAAGTCTACTTGCAGGTGTTTGATGGCCATCTTGGAAAAGATGCCGCGCAGTTCGTGAGAGAAAACCTTCTCAAGTTCATCGTGGAAGACACGGCGTTTCCCGCGGCACTGGAGGAGGCAGTGAAGCGAGCATTTTTGCGGACCGACAGAGCTTTCGCTCAGGCCTGCCAGATTGATAGCGAGCTTGCATCCGGGACCACTGCTCTCACCGTGCTCATCTTTGGGAGGTATTCTAAAATTCATTTAAAACATATCCTGCTCTGCCTGCTTGTTTTTTATATTCTTTTTTACCATCTTCTCCTTGGAGCTCTTCCAGTGACGTCGTGTTTGTGTTTTCTACACTATTTGCAGGACCTTGTTAGTGGCTAATGTAGGAGATTGTCGTGCAGTTCTCTGTAGACGCGGCAGAGCTGTGCCAATGTCAAGAGACCACAAGCCGTCGTGTGTGGAGGAAAAATCTCGCATTGAGTCACTGGGAGGCTTCGTCGACGATGGCTACCTCAATGGACAGCTCTCAGTGGCCAGAGCTCTGGGCGACTGGCACCTCGAAGGGCTCAAAGCCGACGACGACGATGGTGGCTCCTCCAGCGGGCCTCTGAGCGGCGAGCCAGAGATGCGGCAGGCCGAGCTCACCGAGGACGACGAGTTTCTCATCATCGGCTGTGATGGTCTCTGGGACGCATTCTCGAGCCAGGACGCCGTCACCTTTGCCCGCAGGAGGCTCCAGCAGCACAACGATCCGGAGAAGTGCTCCAAGGACTTGATCGTCGAGGCTCTCAAGCGGGACACCTCGGACAATCTCACGGTGGTGACCGTGTGCTTCCGCAGGGATCCGCCACCCAGCCTTCGGATCATCAAGCCTCCCGTGAGAACTATTTCCAACGAAGGCCTTCGTAACCTCCAGGAACTTCTCAATAGCTTGTAATATTGTCTATAGACTCGTCACTATTTCGTAAGTCCATATTGCCGAAGTAAAGGATCAACAGATGGTTCTCTGCCCCGGAATGCTTTGAAAACATCTAGAGCCGCCATTCCACCTCCGAGTGCCAAGATTGTATTGCGGAAACGCATCCCGACCTCCTTCACAGCCTACAAGAATTAAATGTCAGAACCAAATCTTCAAAACTATACGGTATAGTTTCTTCTTTGGTACCTTTTCATCTTTGAGCATAGCTTCTTCAAATCCATTGAAAACATCGGCAGACAAGACTTCAGCCCACTGCAAGATAGAAAAACATTAAGAAAGACCATGTTTTTTTTTCTGAAATATTTTAGAGCCACCTTATAACCATAGTATCCAGCTGCATAATTACCTATGAAAGAAATAGAAGCATCAGCTTCAAGTGAAAAGTTATATATCTTCAGAAGGCATTGCCGATATACATACCAGTAGAAATATGTGAGAAGCTGCAAAGGTATTGTTCTCCAGGCATGCACGGTGGAATCTGAGTTTTTTGTGATAGTTCGCTATACACTTCGTGAATTTTCGTTGTCAAACCATTAGGCTCAAAGTTGGAGTGGAGCTCTAGATCCACTGCGGCAAGTAAGACCTGGTACACCTCAACAATGAAACATCAGAAAAAGGAAAAATGTAAAGCAAGCATACCTGGTTTAACATGTCTATAGCTCTCAGTGTTCTAGATGATTTGATCTTTTCAAACAGCGATTCTGGAAGTAGCTCGCCTGTTTTGTAATGCTTGGCAAAGCTTGACAGTGTGTCCCTGCAATGGAAATTTATTATATAATCCTTCTAAATTGGTTAACATATACTATTCTTACTTATCGTAGCACCAGTTCTCCATGAATTGCGAGGGGAGCTCTACAGCATCTTGTTCTACATTTTGCATACCTGAAACGAATATGACCTCTTGTGTCGTAAGCATGTGTTGCAAAGCGTGGCCAAACTCGTGAAACAGTGTTTTCAACTAGACACACAACCATGAAATCAAATATCAATGGCTATAAAATGTAATATATACCTCGTCAAATGTCATCAAGCTTGGGTTGTCTCCGAGAGGCGGCGTCTGATTGCAAACGATGATACAAGCTGGGAGTCGGATGTCACAACCCTCTGGTGCAAGAGCTCGGCTTCTCTTTGCCACAAAGCTGCTAACAAAAGCACCTCCTCTCTTTTCCAGAGGCCTTGAGTATGGATCTATGTAAAAGTAGGCAAGCGTTTCCTTGGTATCCATATCTTTCACTCTGAAAAACCTCACGTCACCGTGCCAAATCTACGAAGAAAACATACAACTCATTCAAGACGTTCAAGTGCACGAAAGCTAAACACTTACGGATGTTGCCACGAGGTTGTCTGCAGCATCAATCTCTATTGAAAAGAGTCTTTTTGCCAGCAAAAACAAGCCTTCCAACACATGAGGGAATGCAAAGAATGGCCTGAACTCTTCCTGCAAATTCGAAAAGTTAAAAGTAGACTTGGTAGAGGTTTTCATCACCTCGCTCATGTCAAGCCTGGCTTCTCGTCGCCTTTCCATCCAGTATGGAAGATCCCAAGGCATGAGCTCATAATTCTCACCATTGGACGCTGCTAGAGCCTTCAAAGCCTCTAGTTCTGAAACAATAATGGAGTAAGATTTTATACCATCCGAAAGAAACTAGAGGTTTTCAAAACTTTTACCTCGCAAAGCACCATCCCATGCCCCGCTTCGAAGTTTTTCTAGCAACTCGTTGGCTTTATCAAGTGTTGCCATTTTCAAAAGCATACTAATCTAGAAGAGGAATAATCATAAGACTAATAAAATATCAAAGAAACACTTATACCACCTCGGCATAGTTCTTGTAACCAAGAAGTTTGGCTTTCAAATTTCGGAGTTCTAAGATTCGTGTCAAGACAGGAGTGTTGTTGAACTCCCCAGTAGAAGCTTTGTTTCTATAAGCCACATATAACTCCTCTCGGGCTTTCCTGTTCTTCAGATGTTTCATCACTCGAAAATAACTAGATTTATCGATCTTAAATAGCCAAGGCCCAAGCTCGGGTGATGCAACTTCATAGCCCTGAAAATGATCAATTATGAAAGAATTGTGTGATTATTATCATAGCTTCAATTACCTCTGAAGCTGCTGCTTTTGCTGCAAGTGCCAGAGATGTTGCCGACAATCCCTCAACTTCTTCCACACTAGTAACTAGTTTGCCATATTTTCTAATGGAATCGAGGATATTGTCACTGAATTTTCTAGTCAGCTCCACTAGTTCCTGGAAAAAGTATTATACAAATACATAACAAATGCAAAGAATACCTTCTCATACTGGTTGAAGAGCTTCTTTTGTCCATCTTCCAAATGAACACCACTTATAATTACCTTTTTCATGTAGCTTTCCACAGTCCTTTTCTGAGCATCGCTCGAATTTTGGAAGTTCGGGTCTTCCTGAAGTGCCTTGAAGCTATCGAAGAGAGGTTTGCTCTGGGCAAGTTTGAGATCAAAATCTTTCCTTCGAGCCTATAAGAAACCATTATTAACAATTTTTTGTGCCTGAAAGTAGATACCTCAATTTCTTGTATTGCACCTCGAAGGTTTTTCGAATCCTTCATATGTTGAAGATGGTTCACAACGCTGCAGCTAACAATCAGTGTATCCATAATCCACTCCAAAGGAATAGCTAGAGACTCCCATGAATGCTCGTTGCATGCTTCTAGAGCTACTAGCTCTTCTTCCTAGCAGTTAATTAGATCTTAGATGCCTAAGTGAAAAGAAAAAGAAATTGCATACCAATTGCTGGAATAGTTGTGGAAATATAGGAATTATTCGCTCAAGCTCTATGTCAAAGCGTGGCAGCTTCGATCCAGGAACGCGCACGAATTCCATCTTTTCTCGTCTAAACTAAAAAGACGACAACTTAAGGAACTTTTTACTCATGCCTCGAATGGGTCACGGCACTCCATTTTGGAGAAGGGCTTTTAAAAGAGATGAGTGGCTAGAAGAGTGGAGAGAGAGATTCAAGAAATCAGGAGGCACCGATAACCTGGAAAACTCAAGAAATACCTGGAATTCCCAATCGAGATGTCAGTGGCTAAAAGCGTGGCGAAAGCTTGAGCAAAATAACCCAACCACCCTGAGCTGGAGCGACTTTGGCGTGAAGAGCGTTGACAGCATTCCAGGCGCCAGTTGCTTGACCTTGCCGAACGTTTGGGCAGAGCTCTTAGGAGCTTCATGGTGCGAAATCGTGGCGTGAAACACCTGTGATCTTAATCTAACCAGAAAAATGGGAAGCCGGCCGGATGTTTATTAATATTTTGTGTTAAGGGGTAACATAGATCTTAGCGTTACAAATGAGTGGTTTTAGGTGCAGAAGCTAGTGTTGCACTTCTTGCTCATGTCCTTGATAGTGTCGATCTCCAGTGTTCCGCATTCACATCCATGTTGCTTCCTTCGCTGCCGTCGCCATTGCTGAGAGAAAAGAGAGTGAGCAGGAGCAAGAGTGGAAAAAAGAGCTTGTGAATTGCCCCTATCTTCCCATTATGTTTACATATATACTCACACTCAAAACAAATTTGTGTGCTCACCAACCACACATGATTTTGAGAGAAAGAGCATGAATGTACCTTTAGAAGACCACCTGAGACTATTAGATAGGGATAGTGTTGCTGTATTCTCTATTCTGCCCTCTTGGGCCGGGTTGGCTATGGCGAAGATGAGAATTGTGGTTCTCTTCTTGATCTTTTGGATTTTGCAATTGTTATTTCTGGTTTGTAACATAGCTAAACATGGTGGTAACACGTTCGGGAGTAGTATGGAAGTCATCTCATCGTTCAATCCTCGTGTGTTTCTTTTCCATGACTTCTTAGTGCGATGACCAGTGCGACCATTTAATTGGTCTCGCACTACCACGCTTAAGACGGTCTTCAGTGATTGACAAAAAAAGGACAGAAGAAATAGAACTAGTTGGGGAGCATTCCTCAGGCGTGATCACGACAACATAGTTTCTGGGATTGAAGATAGAATCTCAAGCATCACATTCATTCCCAAAGGTTTAGAATTCCCACAAAATCTTCTTGAACAAGAATCATTCAAATTTCTGTGTAGAATATGGTGAAAGTTTGCAGGTGGTGCGTTATAAAACCGGGCAAAAGTTTGAGCCACACCAAGATTATTACAAGCTCACTGAGAATAACAATAATGGAGGACACCGGATTGGAACATTACTTCTTTATTTGTAAGTGTAAAATTTAGACACTGAAGGATTGGTTTCAGCTGACATTCTTATGTAGGACAAACGTTGAAAATGGCGGGGAGACTGTTTTCCCGCGAGCATTGGCAAATGTCACAAATGACTATTCAACAAACACCTCCGAGTGCACTAAAAAGGGGATCGTCATCCGGCCAAGGAGAGGTGATGGTCTTCTTTTCTGGATCACCAGACCATCAGGAGAAATCGATCCATTCAGCTTTCATGGTTTGTGTTAACATTACAAGCTCAAACATTTTTCTTTCTCTTTGTTCAAACAGGAGGCTGCCCTGTTGTCAAAGGAGAAAAATGGTTGGCAACCAAGTTTCTCCACGAGCACGACTTAAAACTCTGACAAAAAACATCAAATAAAGGAACAAAAAGTGAAAGGTACTTATAAAACCAGCACTTTGTAGCTGATTCATATTCTCGTTTCTGTCAAAGACTATTGAGAAAACCTGTCCAAGCATGCTGTTCTCGAGTCTTATAGTTTGAGTGATTTTCTCCCCGCCTTTCGGTTCAAGCTGGCTGTTGCTTGCAGGCTCCAGCCGGAGATGCAGGCTGCTGCCTGCAAAACAAAGTCCATGTATGTCTTTCAAGTGGGATGCCAAAATCAGGGTCTGGGAGTTCTCAGAGACTTTTTTGAACTCGCTCAAGGACTCGCTTTGATAACCAAGGATGGTCGGACACATAGGAGCTGCAAACACACACAAACTTGGAGTTCATACATACATAATCAAAACAGCTAGTTACCACCATTACTCACAAGAAAACAAAATGAATTTCCTTGGATTTGGAGCGAGAGAGATGCATCGTTCCACTTTGTGGAGGGCT